TGAATATTACAGGTTTTTTTTACAGCAAACTGTAACAAATAAAGCATTTATCAGAAAAGCAAATATTAATGGACTTCCACGAGATGCGAATTGGCCACTTTATTTTATGGGTGATTTAGTAGTTTCTTTCAAGTTTCCGCTTCTCCCACTACGATTTTTTGTTTGCTTGTTTGTTTGTTTTTCTTCTGGAATCAAATGTATTTTTGGGAGCTACATTGGCTGTTAAGATATTGTTGATAATCTCAAAGGAAACCTTCCTTAGCTAAATTTCATTACGACCCTGATTGTTATTATTTCGGCCTTGCATTACGACCACAACTTAACGCCTTCTAAAGGACTAGTTTGAACTGTGGATTTATAATCCTGTAGATAATTGGATTTACCATACTACTATATAATACTAAATAAGCGCATATTGCGTAAGCCTCTCGTGGAATATTACACTTAAAAGTTTCTTAAACTATCACTATAGACAAAGCAAACCATGCCATTACAAAAAAAACAAACCGCAGTGAAACAAATCTTTAACACATTTATGTCAGTAGGACAGCAATGCATACCGCATACGGAAAATAATACAACCAAGCTTTTCGCTTTTCTGAGTAAACTTTTGCTTCTCAGACTTATCATGAAACACCCAACTAAGCAAAATAAAGGCCCTGACATGTGGTGTATAGCTCTTCCTCTTTTATTACTGGGATTTACAAAGAAAAATTACGACAAGTCCCTTACTCTACTGATTTACAGGTTAAGAAGTATTTTCAGTGTTTATTTTACTTGCAGCTTATACAATTAACCTGACTAACTCAWAATACTCRCRCTTAAAACACTAATTTAAGCTACAGAAGGTTGTAATGCGCGTTACGAAAGAATATTCTTTATTTAAATGATGTGAAGTAGTTGTCGCCATTCAAAATTTGTCATAAAAATGTATTTTTGCGTGGATCGATGATACATTAAGAAAGAGGGTTTTGATTGGTCGATTCGCACACACACACACGCACACACACACACACACACACATCATTCAGTTCTGATCTGATTTATATCGTAAACATTTCGACTGAGGGGGAGGGGAAGAACATAAAATATCTGCGCATAGATAATGGTGCAAGAACCAAGCGATTGTCTGCGAGGCAATGTACATCAGTTGAAAAGGGGCTCTAACATTTTATCGATCTAGCAATGCAAGCACTAATTGGATGAATCTATAGAATAAAGAGAAAAAGGGAAATGGCTAACGCTGAGGGAAAAAGCGAGTGAATTCTTAATCATTTTGAAGCATCTGAACCAATCTAATACATCTACCGAGAGGAAAAGACACCAAATCTCATTTAAGGATTCAAATAGGTGCTTTATTGTTCTTTAAAATACTGATCAAGTCAATCATATTAGCATTGTTACATCCAAGATGGATGACACTAATCATAATGCAGGTACAAATGGTAAAGAAATGTTTTGAGCTGTATGCGAAACGATATTTTAGGACGTTTGAAAAATTTTGGTGAAGCCTTTTGATATGCTCAGACCACGATAAAGCTACTTTGAATGTATCGTTGGACCCGAATAGGTGGAAAAAGGAAGAAGGTCGAGAATAAAGAAAGCACATGATTCAATAGTTTCAAAGTTTATTCGGCGATCGAGTAACATAAACCGTTCATGACCTTGATGAATCTTTCCACAAGCAATTAAAGACATTTGTATTGAAAACTCACCTCGTTTATTGTGTCCTTGATTTCTAGCAGAGCAAGACGGCTGTACACAGCTATTGCTCGAAATCGATTGATATTTCCACGTACATTTTACGTGATGTCATCACAAGCACCCCGGATATAAAAAACGCAATCGACTGCGCATGTCTCCGATCTTACATCCGACAAATTTTGGCTTTTTCTCGCTATTGTAAAGAATAGGCTGTTGCTTTACTAGGGCTCGACAGCAATAATTCCGGATGCTTTGAGCTGAGCACACGATAAAAAGGGTTAATCGACTATACGAGTGGGATACTTTTTAAATTTTTTACATTTTTTGATTTATAAAAATCAACAAGTATGAGGACCAGATATTAGATGAAAAAACCCACATTTCCCTATGGAGTCAAATATGTGACAAAGTTCATCGAACAAACTGTGTCAAATCTGTTGCTCAAACTTGGTATTCAAAATGTCGAAGTAATCAAATCGATAGTCATCTCCGTCAAAGAAACTGTCAAATCTGTTAATCGAAGTTCCAAAGTAATCAAATGCAAACTCAATGTCATCAAACGAATGGAAATTGTATGCAGACTCATCGGAAGCAGGAACCCATCGTACGAAAACCCATCGTACGAAAACCCATTGAACGAAGACCCATCGTACCAAACCCATCGTACAAAATCCCATCGTACGGAAACCCATTGAACCAAAACCCATTGAAGAAAAATACATTACATTATACGAAATTTGAACCAGCCGGTTTGGGCTGGGTGTTACGAAAACGAAGACCTTCGAAAACGAAGACCTAAGACCTTACAACGCTTTGTAATATAATACATTACACTTCACGCGTTTTTTCCCATTATTAACCGTATAATTATACGGCCCGTCTTGTCTGTTCTGTTTCGCTATGCGAGCCAATTTGGTGTTGATATTCTCGAGGGTTTCCTCGGGTTTACAACACATATCATTATTCTGGAACAGCAGGCAGAATTCGAACGCTAGCCGCCTTTGATTTATAGTTAGCATTGCGTGACAGAATAACAGAGAAGGCGTTCTGTACAGGAAAAATTTCACTTGGGTTCTGTCAATAAATAATCAATTTCTACTGTATTTCGTAGCTAAAATAGATTCTGACGGTCGTTCAGCTTTCTCTGCTGGAAAATTCTCGTTAAAATGTAAGCAATTCTTTTGGCTAATGCAGGGTCTTAAGTCTTAGGTCTTCGTTCTCGAGGGTCTTCCG